TTCTTCAATGTGCATCTCTTCTACAATAAGCAGTAAACAGCATGCAAATGTGGTAAATATATACTATTTCTTGTCTGCAATAAAGCAACTTATCTAGTCATAATGAATCTCTGAAGTTTCTGATATTATTGAATATGAAACTGAAGAGTTGATATTTATTGCTGTGACTGGCATGAAGTCTGCTTCTAAAGAAGTACTTTTGCCATTATTACTGCATGTTAGAATATTCAGAAGGTCTTTCTGAAGATGAGAGAGCATTCATTTATCTGGATGAATGTAATTTTCTTTGCAGTGTTACGGAAGTGATAATATTACTTTCTTGTGGGGATGACCTTCTTTTATACTTTAAAATCCAGGAACATGTGAGGTAGACAGGGCAGCTGACAAAGATTCAGGTACAAAAACCAGTTATATACATTTCTTAGATCCATACTGATGTCAATGAATGCTAATGTACCTACTGGTACATGAGTCCTAGGTGGGTAATCAGGTGTACCTGGGATGATTGACTGGGATGATTGACTGTCAGGAAAGAAGCCTGCAAGCCACTGGAGATAACCAGTTTTTAATGTTGATAGTTCTGAATTCTCAGCCATTTCCTTGAAGGTCTTTACCAGGCTATATGGAACAAAGCTTTTAAAGGTACACCTGGCCAAGCTGAGTTCCTCAGGGACAATCCCATTTTTTAAATCATTTGTTTTGCACCCTGAATGAGTATGTCATGAAACAATATTTAATCCTGTGACTGATATTAAGCTAATCAAGACATTTCCTGATAGGTTACATATACTGATATTATTTCATTCTATAAGAGCTGCTTATAAGACACCGCTTCTGAAGGGATAGGAAAAATCTTGAGAGCAAGAATAGAATGAAAAATCTCCACAGCAGGAATAGAAATGTAACAACTTGCTCTGAATCCCTCATTACAAAATCAGAATACTAACATGGAATGTAATTCCTTAGAGAAATTAATAACTGCTCAAAAATTAATTGTACCCAAGGATGGTATTGAAATCACCTGAATATTTTCTCTTAACTGTATTCTCTAACCTTCCATCCAATATAGACCTAGCAGATGGATGAAACAATTACTGGATTTCCTTTCATCTTATCCCTGTGATGCTTAGGTAGATTTAAGCTCTATCGACAAATTAAAGAACAAAAGATTAACTGCAAACAGTACCTCACAATAATTTAAACAAAAAAGGTACACAAATCTTCAGCTGCATACAAATGAACCTCACACACATGGATGTACAGCAAAAAAACAAGCCCTTAGCTTGGGCTATTGTTAAGAGTTAGAACTTTAGGAAATGAGTTTAAACCATTTCAATGTCCTGCTCTGCTTCATTTGTGATATCTGAAACTATAATCTTTGCATCAGAAATAAATGCATAAACAAAGAATGTAAGGGTAACTTGAATGTTTCTCTTGAACAAAATTGCATCACACAAAAGATAGGAAGTGAAGTTATTCGTATATCCTGTTTTTTCTCTCCTCATCCTCCAATATTGAAAGTTGAAATTACTTCAGAGCAGAGCGGGAAGAATATTTCCACAATGAGAAAAATGTAAATACGTGGGCCCCACTTTCCCTAGACTAATTTTGGCTTCTGGACAGATTAGAAACAAAATAAACAAAGACATATGATACAGAGAGAGAAAAGTTTTCTATTTCCTGTAACTTTCTTCCACAGTCCTACATTTTATGAAGAAAAGGTTCCCCCCCCCCATCTTCTTCTTACTTTTATTAAATTAAAGACTTTGCATCTGATTTACACCAACAAATTTATCTCCCTTTTCTACTTAAAAAGCAATTATAGTAGTTTACAGGATAGTTAAAAACAGAAATAAATTACTGGATCCATATTCTGCATTTTACACTTCAGTCAATTCAAATACCTTCCACTGCCTGGACACACAGTGATGTCTGTTTGCAAGGAATTGCTTTTAATCATAAGCTTTATACAAGTTACTCCCTAGCTGTGGATTGTCATCTTGGTGTTATTCTGAAATATTCTTCCTGGGCAAGCCTGGGTCCACATTTATTTATTAAATTAGCCCACCTCCCTTCCCAAAAGGATGAACTTCATGCATAATTAAAATTTGGAAAAGCACACTAGTAGGCAAGAATCCAAGACTAAATCTGATTCCTAAATACCAAGAGTGCTGTATATTTGCTTATAAATGCTCCCTTCCTCATGAAGTAAAGGCAGTTCTTAATTCCCACTTGAAATTATAATATGACTCAAGTTCTAGGAACAACAATGAAAACAGCAATAATGTAAGTTAGGAGAACTAACATGTCAATCACAAAAGCATTGATGTATGGCAGGAAAAAAGTAATATTTAGTTGGTTTTTTTTAAATAAAAACTGTATTTCACCAAATATTTTCTTAAAACACACACACAATAGCAATAAAACGACCATGACTTCTATTTTTAGACTATTCTCCAACTTCAGACACAATACCTTGACAATGCAAATAACTCATTCTGTAACCCTATAAAATGAATGGAAAGGAACTAACAGATTAACAACGGAAATGGCTATTTTAAGCAACCAAAAGTATTTATAGTTACTTTTGAGCATCACAGTAAGATGGAAAAATAAAACCAAATATTCATATAACATGTCAATGGTATCTTGACCAGTTCCCATAGATCAGCTACCTCCAACCCAGGGATTGATTCTGTGGAGAGAGGTTTTTCCATGGACTGGAGTGGGCGTGGTTTCGTGTGCTTCTTACATCTCGCAGATGGGTCTTTGCTTGTTTGTGCGGCCCAGTTTCTGGCTTGCTGCAGCCCAGTGCCGGTTCACGAACCAGAGGTTGGGGACCCCTACCATAGATTATAGCCTATTATAGTTTATTGCAGAAATAATCCTTTAGGCTTCAGTAGAATAGGACTGAATAAAATTTCAATATTGGTGCTGGCTTAGAATATTGACACATGCTGATCTAATATATTCTTTACAACTTAATATAAGTATTGTTCTTATGGTTAGAAAAAACCTGAAAGTGAATTCCTTGTTAGATTCAGCATTTTTTAAAAAGCCAACAATTTTACTGCTTAATCATACTACCTGCTTTGGTTCTAATATTCTACACCTTGAGCAAAACTTTATTGAGTTATGATGTGGCATGGACTTTTTATAATTAGTCATCACTATTGCTTTAAGGTAAACTGAAAGGCTAGAATTAAATGAAACAATGAAAGAAACACATGCATCATCAACTTTAGTTTTAACATCCAGCACCTAGTCATAACTAGAACAGATAAATGGATAGAAAATGAATAAATAATGAAACACTTCTTTCAAACATAGCATATTGGTTGTATATTCACACAGTGATGTCCATGAAATCAATGAGGGCTATTGTAATGGATTTCACTCAAAGGAAACAATGGAAATACATTAATAGATCTATTCATTAAAAAGGTAAGATCATAAAGAGCTGCAGATCATAAGAGCTGCAGTGGCGCAGTGGTTAGATGCAGTACTAAAGGCTATGCCTGCTGTCTGCCTGAAATGTGGCAGTTTGAATCTCACCAGGCTCAAAATTGACTCAGCCTTCCATCCTTCCAAGGTCAGTAAAATGAGGACCCAGATTGTTGGGGGCAATAGGCTGACTCTGTAAAGCCACTTAGAGAGGGCTGTAAAGCAGTGTGAAGCAGTATATCAGTCTAACTGCTATTGCTATAAATGAAAGGATACCGACTACTGATTGTTCTATTTTACAGCCCAATCTTAGTAACCAGTTTTAACCAAGCATGCATTATATACTATAGAGCAGCTTTTCTCAAACTTGGCAACTTTTAAGATGTGTCAACCTCAACCCCCAGAATTCTCCAGCAGGTATGTTAAGTCTGCCAAGATTGAGAAATGCTGCTATAGAATGCTTTTACTTTTCAATTATGGGTGTGGAAGCAGCCTTTGGTTAGCACTGTTCACAGGATCTTGCTGCTTTCATGAAAAGGATAAAAGCAGCATTGTGGTGTTGCACTGGAAGTGGTGGGCATGACATGTGGTGGGCATGACATGTTGTGCTGCACTTAGAGAAAAGGCAAACCTTGCATTACAACTTCACATCATTGTGTTCTTCAGTATGACCTCTTTTAGCCCGTTGCAGCCTTTTGCATTATCATTCTTTACCAGGGTAAGTAGGCATAGCTGAAAGCGATGCTGGGCTAGTATAATATACCTATCAATGTAGTATTGTGATCCTATTTCTCAGTTTCACTTTTGAGGGTTTTTTTTTGTCTCAACTGTGGATGAAGAAATCATTATTGAAATCTACGTCAGATGATTAATTTATGTCATAAAGTTGAACATTTTTGAAGCCCCAATAATTATTACTGTGTAAGTAACAGATAGCGAAGTGGACAAGGCTATGAATATTGTTCACTTTTGAACATTATTTTACAATATATTTGCTTGCAAACCTTAAAGAGCATAACAAGCACTGTCTCTTGGACAAAGTACTTGACATATTACTTGAAGTACTTTTTGAATGGTTTAAAGAAAAGTTGTGCTCTACCAAAGCAAGAGAAATTTCGAAGTGCAGTGCTGAACAAATATTAATTTGAAGCTCAGAATAATCAGATTGCCTTGTGGATAACCAAGGCCCTTAATGCTTACCAGCTGTGTTGTTTTTTTCCCCAAGGCCTCTCCCATTAGATTACAAGTTACCCTTTCTAAACATCCATTGCCACAATACATTAATAATGCCTGCTAAATTATATTGTTGACATCTGCTGATTTTTGTCAATGGGTTTTTGGGATTTCCTTTGGTGGTCTCCACTGTTACTAGGAAATCATGTTTGCTGCTGCATTAACTAGAAAGAAGATTAAGTAAAGCTTTGCAATGAGTCCCTACTAAGAAAATAACTAAGTACTGTAGCAGTTAATTCTCTACCCACATTTCAGCAAGGGTTCCAAAACCACATTTGCATTCAGTCTGTTACATTTATTTATTTTTAAACTTCCAGCCTTACCTATAATATTGCAGCTGAGATTCTAGCTGCTGGATATAGATCTGCAGTTGGGACACTTTATGGGCTTTAGTTTCTAGCTCCTTTACTTTTCCAAGGCTGTTAAGGATAACACATCTTGCTTCTTCAACTTTCTTCCTCATTTCTGCCTGCTCCCTTTTTAAACTGTGGTTGCAATCTTCCAGGGCTATGAGGGCTTCGTGAGAATTCCTTAGTTCTTTTTCCAGTTCTTGGTTAAACTTAATTGCTTCTTCAATTTGTCCATCTCTAGAAGTTCGGATTAATTCAACTTCTTTTAGAACACTCTGAAGGCACTTGGAAGTCTGAAATCTATTGTTAACCTGTTGTCTCCGGCTGCCTATAAAGCAAGTCCCATTTTTCTTATGCTGTGCATGGCTCTTCCACAATCCCACCTACAATCATCAGGAGCAAAATGGAAAATGTTAATAAGGAGCAGTGAAGGTTTTAAACAGATTTCTTCTCAATGCAATCAATACATTTGTCTTCAACATATGTATCAATAGCTGAAGAATGATCACAATCCAATGGCTAAATTTAAAACAAACACACAAGCACTCATAATGACTCCTGTGTGCATTATTTCACACAGGAATTCTTGTGTGAATATACTTAAATAGAGTTTACTGCCATTTTGGTTATCTAGATTACACAACTCTCCTTTCCAATGAAAATTTAGGAACATGTTCCAGATTAAACAGAGAAGACTGAGAGACACCAACATTATTGAAACTGTAATCATGAACTCAATTACATCACAGAAAGGTGAATTTGGTTTTGAGTCAAGATGTATAATGCATAAAATTACATTATAATATATATGGCAATATAAGTATGAAAACTTATCAAGAGAAACTGTGGTCTTAAGTAACTTAACTGCTTGGTAAAATAGGACATTGTGAAACATGAAATACTTTTTATTCTAATCCTGCCTAATTTGATACTGTACTTGAAGTGTACTATCTTGCTGGCTGTGAATTATGGGAGCTGAAATCTAATGCATCTGAAGACCACCAAGCCAGAGAAGACTGCCCTAGAAGTTATTTAAGTATCAACACCTAGAATACATAGCTAACAGTGCATAGCATGCAAAGAGAATCTTGCTTATACCAATATTGTCTTCATTAAGATAATAATTTGGAAAACCTGAGTCTTTCTGTGCTTTCAGTAAAGGATCATGAAGGAATCAATTAACCATGAAAAGCACAGTACTCAATCCAGCATCACTGTAACTCAAATTCAGCATTTTATTTCATAAAGGGTGTATGGTGCTACTTCAACACATCCCAAAAGCTGCCTAAATGTGCACAGAATTGCAAGCAAGTGAAGATACCAGATGGGTATCCAAGAGTGAATGGTCAGTGGCTCTTTTGGGAGAGGGAGGACAAAAGGCTCCTTACTTTATTATGGCTAGGGTACAGAGGAGGAGAAGTCCTTGTTCCCACAAGTGCACAGTTTAATTTGTGAAAGGGAATGCATTTATCTGTGTTTTGCATGCATGTTCAAAGTTTCACTTTTTCGCATACCAATATCGGCTATACTGTAAGTGAATGTGAGACACCTGTATTATTTATTTATTGGATTTTTATTCTGCCCACCTCAATAATACAACAACTTTGGGCAACTTATAACATTATAAAAATATGTATATGACCTGTGCAGGCATAGGAATCATGCAGAGATCACCTATGCCTATTTAGGTTATATACATGCAGGTGTTCCCACAAATAGTAGAGTAAAGCAACAAAAGCAACAATAATCCCATTTCCTTTCACACCATTGCATTCACTGCAATATATTCAGAGAGGAAGAGTACAAGGTTAAAATTATCCTTGACAGGAAAGAAGCTGAAGAAAGAAACATGGTTCTTAGGATAGAGGGTCATCAGTGAGTGATGGATGAAAAGAGAGGCAGAAATTTGTTCTGGTTACTAACAGCTATCAACAGTTACCAATAAGGCAAACAAATGAGATAAAATTGCAACTTCGAAATTGAGTATATCATTCAGCCAAAGCACTATGCTATAATTGGACTCATTCATTTATGTATCCAAACTCTTGCTAAATCTAGATTCATGCTACAACAGCATACTAAAATAAAATAAAGTGTTACCCAAGAAAAGTAATGTAGTGTATCACAAAAACAAGCCAATAATGAAAATTATTTATAAGCTAACATTTGGATTGTTGATGGGTTGGCTATGTATATACAGCTGTTCTCCTAACATTTAGTTTTTGAAATGTTAAAACTCATGGGGTTTTTTGGATTCAATTGCTCATTTAATGTTAGTTCCCAGTGTGCTGTACAGCAACAAGATCTGGCCAATATTACAAAGTTGACAGGATGTAAGAAAAGCTAATTTCCTGTTCTGTCTGACAGGGGGATCCTATAACAAAAGCATGATGGATGTTCTATCTGGGTACTCTTGGATGGCCCATGAGACATTCTAGGAATAGTCTAAAGAAGAACAGATGGGGGGGGGGGCATGAAGTAATGCTGCTGCATCAGTAGTAGAGACCAAATGAATAGGAGAGCCACAGGAGAAGATAAGAGACAAGATGGAACTTCCCTGATAAAAAGAGGTTCACTAAAGCAGTGGTCACCAACCAGAGGGCCAGGGACCACTGGTAGTCTGCGAAAAAATGTTGGTGGTCCACAGAGAAATGTCACCCCCAAAGCAATTAATCCAGGCTACGCAGGAACACAAGACTGCGCCACCCACATGGCCCGCGGGAACACAAGATTTGTGTCACTCGCATGGCGAACAACACAAGGTAGTGAGGGGAGGGGGGAAAGGGCAGAGGGGGGAACTTGCCACACTCACCCCACACACTTCACCTGGCCACTGGGCTCCTTCTTTCTGCTTCTTTCTTCTTCTGCTTTTGGCTGCACACAAGGAAAGCAGCAAAAGTCTTTATTTCTCTCCCCCAAACCTCCCCAGAAATGAGTTTTTGGGACCCTGCAAGGCATCCAGCTCCAAGAGGCTGCACCATTCTGGTGGAGTTTGGGAGAGAGAGAAAAAACTTTTGCTGCTTCAGCTGCTTTCCTTGCATGAAGCCAAAAGTCTCTCTCTTTTTCTCTTTCTCTCCCCCCCCCCACGAGAACAGAGCTGGAGATGGTATCCTGTGATCCCAAATAAAGAATGATTGATCGGTGGGAAAATGGGTTGAGGAATTTTCCTGCAGACTTTTTTGGGGATTTTCCCAGGGTCTCTGATCCACAGGATTTAAAATTGTGAGTTTGGTGGTCCCTGAGGTCCAAAAGGTTGGTGACCCCTGCATTAAAGATCCATCAAAAACAATGTGAAAAGTATCTATTTGCATATATCGTAAGGCTTTTGGTAGGAATATATCCATCTCCAATGAATGTAAAGAGAAATTAAAAGTTAGAAGTAGATAAAGTTGTTTATTGGAAAAGATGTATTTATTTACTGAGTCACAGAGTTATTCCAAAAGGCAAAATATAAGCATATAAAAATGCTTCAAACTAGTCTACTGAATTCAGTAAACTTTTTTGAAATAAATCTGCACTTGATAGCTGCTTCAGATTTCTGCTTATGTACCCACTTGTCTGTGAGCAAAGACTACTGACCTTACCAGCAATTAAATTTTAATAGGCATGTAAATGGCATGAATTATTAAACCCACTAAAGTCAGTGTGTTTAATTCTGCATGGGATTGATGTTATATTAAAATCATGAAATTATTGATCACAGAGAGCTATGCAATGGGGACTCAATCTTTTTTATATTAAAAAATGTCCATCTCGTTACTGAAGGTGTGCAGGAATGAAAATGAGTATATCTTCAAATATTAATATTATTGAATTTATGTAGTGTATCTTGTTTCAATAGGAAAATACATGTTCTTTCTTCATCTTTGCCCTCCATACTTTATTTGGATTTTCTTTCAATCCAGTCATAGGTAAGATCTGCCCACTGAAGTCAATGAATTTTCCAATGCAATCAAATCTATATTTATTTATAAATATATAAAAGTCAGAATTCAGAAAAGCCGTGCAAGAGTGCTTCAGAATGAAACTTCAATAGTGCCCACCTTTGACTGGACAGGTTCATTACTTTGTTGAAAAACTTGCAAACACAACAAGAGATTATTCTAGACAGATTTTTTCAGGTAGATCCAAATGAACTGTTTCATCTGAAACATGCTTCTCTGAATGTCTAGTAGAGTGCTGTCAACACAATGTTCATTTATACAATATATGGAGACCACAGTGTTTAGGTGCCATGTTGTTCTTTCACTGACTAACAAGATTTCAGAGAAGACAAAAGCTAAGCGAAATATTTGTGCATCAGCCCCAAAGCCAATAAGCAACTTCAAGCCATCTGTGTTGAAGAGTATTTCAATTCAACACAATATAAACAGAACCAGGTTTGAATGGAAATTAAAAAGTCACAAACTTTTTAGAATTATTCCTGTTACAAAAATGGTTGCTACGACTCAAGGATGGAAAGAATTTGAACTTATTCCAATTTCTTAGTAAAATAGGAGTTGCATTACTCAAAAGATGCCAGCACCAGAAAAGACCTTCTAATAAAGCTCAATAAAGGAACTGAATTCTCCATATGACTTGTCAGGAAAAAAAAAATAGGGCTGCTTCTTTGTCACAATTTACTCTTTCCCCTTCACTTACAATAGCCCACCATGGCAATAAAATTCACTCCCTAGTTTGTAATAATGATAAGGGTTGGCTTTTTAGTTCATGGAAAACCCACCTCTGTCGAAGTGCATGTTTTATAGACAATAGAGCATCCCACAGTGCATCTCTCCACTTGTTTGCAAGGGGAGTGTCAGCTGGGAGAGCCTGGAGCCTCTCAACATTTCCATTCTCCTTTAAGTTGTCCTGAAAGAAAAATAGAAATGCCAGGGTGGGTTTCCCTCCCTTCTGAAGCCATTTCAATTGGCTTCAGCATCTTTCCCATCCCTGCCTGGAGATGAGATTGCGAACGAATAAGGTAACTCCTAATTTGCTGTTAAGTTCCCCAGATCCAAAATGTGCCCCCTGAGGCATCCAACCCTCTATCCCCTGAGGACAGGTAGGCCTCAGGAAGGCATTGAGGACATTCTCCCGGGCACCTTCCCTTCCTCCTGTCTTCAGGTGCCCTTCCCCAGAGCAGCCTGGGTGGCACCTTTTGGGTGAGCATCTACTGTATGTCACTCAGGATTTGTCCCACCCCACTGCCATCTCGACTGAAAAGCGTTTAATTAAGTACACTCGGGGGTGGTTGGGGCTCAGCTTGGGACTTTCCCGCCCACCCAGGCAGCCGGGTAACCGGGCCCGGGCAAGGAAGGCTCCACAGCTCCAAGGCGCGCACTTTTTCCGATCCCTTCGGGCTCCGCGGCGCAGCAGGACTTCCCCGCCCGCTCACCTGGAGCGCCAAGCACCGGGCATCGCTGCTCTGCAAAGCCGCCCTCATGTCCTCCACCAGTTCGCGCAGGCTGGCGTTTTCGTCTTCCAGCTTGACGATGCGATCCTCGGCTTGCTCCAGCGCCACGATCTCTTCGTAGCATTCCCGGGAGCAGGACCCGGGCGGCGAGGCGGAGCACGACCGAGCGCCGCTGCTCCGCGGGCACCCTCTGCTCGCCGCCCTGCGCCCCGCCGCAGCTTGCTCCCGCCGGCGGCGGAGCGGGCTGCGGAGGCGAATCTGGGTCTCGATGTGCTCGCTCTCCTTGCCCAGAGGTAGCCGGTTCACCCCCGGGACGCCCTGGTCCGTCGGCTTGCAGCCGGCCTTAGTGCTGAAGTAGCCGCACAGCTTGGCATGGAACTGTCGGAAAGTCAGCTCGGGCGAGAGGTTCTCGCAGAGGCCGGCGCATTCCTCCGGGTCGGCGGCCGCCTCGTCGTCGTCGTCTTGCAGCCCCAGCACCAGGCAGAGGGTCTGGAAATCCTCGCCGGGGATCTTGCCTTCGCCTTCGCAGTCCAAGTGGTGGAAGATCTCCTGCAGGTACTGATCCAAGCCCGTGGCCAGCACGATGATCTCGTTCTCTACTCCCCGGTCCAGCCCGTAGTGGTAAGCCAAGGCGCTCACTAGCCACTGGGTTCGGCGAGCCGGCCGGCTGTAAGGGTCCCACACCTCAGGCGGATCCATCCTCGGGCGCTCCCGCCGCCCCCTCGCCGCTCAGCTCGCGCTTCTCTTCAACCATTCTTCCCCTGCTTGAATCGAGTTTCCCCGGGTCTGGGGGGGCGGCGCCGCCTGAGCCAGCCACGCCCCCATCTCGTGTTCCTCCCCGCCATCCTGTCCCCGAGAGCGGAGGGGCTAGGTGGGCGCCTCTTCTGTAAGGCTCTGGAGGCGCGAGTGAGCATGCGTGGCGCTTCCTCGGTGCAAATGAGTTTGAAGAAAGGTTTTTCTTCGACTCGGAAGATGAGTCACGTTTCTCAACGGAAGGAGAGAGAGAGAGACGCAAGGTAGACTATGAATTTGGAAAAAAATCTTTCATGAAAAGGCATTGATTGGGTCGAGGCTATCTCCAGGAGTTCAGGTGAACTGTGATAAGTCTTTATTTCTGCTGTATGTCAACTTCAGCAACAGAGTGGTCAATGTCTGGAATACACTACCTGACTCTGGTTTCTTCCCCCAAAACTTTTCACCTTAGACTGTCTACTGTTGACCTCACCCCTTTCCTAAGAGGTCTGTAGGGGGCATACATAAGCGCACCAACATACCTACCACCCTTTTCCTAATGGTTTTTTTAAAATTCATATCCATTTCACAATACTCATAATCATGTTTATACTTATACCTGTTACCTAATACTTGCTTGACAAATAAATAAAAATAAACATAATAAATTTTTTTGCCTCCATTTGTATAAGCATTTCAAAAAGCAGCCCCGATCATAACAGTAGCAGCCACCAGCATAAATCAAATTAAGAATGTCAATACAAATGACAATATTGCAAAGAAGTGCTGGCCAGACATCAGAACCATCACCTTTGAGTACAAGAGCTTTTGTGCGTAGCCAACAATTCTGCTTTTGCTGTAACTTATATGTGTGTATTCCTCGGCAGGTATATTTTTCTGCATCTACCTGCATAGCTGAAGAAGCTTCTTGGATGAGAAGCAAAACATCCTCAAGGAAAAACCAAAAAGTTCAAACGGCACCTTTGGGACAACCATGACCTGGATGATTGAGAATCTCCCTAGATACTCGCCCAAAAGTTTGTAGTCACAATAGCTCATAAAGAGACAAAAGCTGCTTTCCTCAATATTTTAACAGAAGTTTTCTTTTTTATTTTCTTTTTCCAAAACTAAACAAAAATTATTCAAAAATAAGTCCATTTTCACATCAGACACACAATTTTCAAGCAAGGAAGGTGCTTCACATTTAGGTGGAGAAACAAAGGATGCTTAGAATAGTTTTTATTTTTCAATACATCTGGCACAGTTCCTGCAATTTTACTCCCTATGCATGCTTTCTTTGTCAAAGTTGCTCAGTCGCTAAGTCATGCGGTCTCTCCGTGACCCCAAGGACCATAGCATGCCAGCCAATCCCCTCCCTCTCCTCCATTGTCTCCTTGAATTTGCCAAATTCATGTTCTTTATGTTGATGATGCTATCTAACCATCCGATCCTCTGCCGTCCCCTTCTCTTTTTGCTTTCAATCTTTCCCAACATCCTCCCTGCACATTAGGTGGCCAAAGTAGTTAAGCTTCAGCTTCAGTATCTGTCCTCCCAAAGAACAGTCAGGATTTCCTTTAGGATTGGCTGATTTGATCTCCTTGCAATCCAATGGATTCTCAAGTGTCTTCTCCAATACTGGAATTCAGAAGCTTCAGTTCTTCAGCACTCAGCCTTCCTTGTGGTCCAACTCTCACAGCCATACATTACTACTGGGAAAACTATAGTTTTGACTATATGGACTGTTGGAAGAATTTTCCTTCTGGGTTCAGTTCCATGTGGGGAGAAAGACACTGGAAACATGGAGGCTCCAAAGAAACTGCTTGGAAAGATGGTTTAATGGTGGACATGATGGTAATGATAATGATGGTTTAAAGAGCCTTGGAGCTCTTGGGCGAAGAAAAGGGAAGAGATGCTGAGAGTCCCTGGGTTTTATACCCTCTCTGGCTTTGAACTTACTGGGGCAAAAGAAGAGTATCCTGACTGGTTGCTGTGAGAGGTCATAGCTAGCTTTGTAGGTTGTCTGTGTGCTAAGTTTGGTTGAAACTTGGTGGGTGATGCAATGAAGGGCAATTAAATGGCTCTGCCTGAAGGAGGTAGATCTTTGTTATGTAGAATAGACTGGCCCAGGCCTTAATGGCCCATTAACATCCACAGTAAATGTCTGTGCTATTAAGGAAATCTTTTTTTTAAAGAACAACAGTAATAATAGTTAAACTTTCTCTCAGAAGTTACAAATTTCACAAATTATTGAAAAATAACAGGCACTTATGTTAGGACATAAATTATGAAAGTTACTTCTGACAAGGGTGACATCATTCCTTTCCTTTGTAATATCTCCTCTGATTAAAAGGTAATACACTGTTTTGTGACATTTTTCTTGGTCCTGAAAAAATACATTTATATTTAGATTCTCCCTTTTATGGTTCAATACAAATTGATTGGTTTGCATAGAGATTCATCAATTTACACAGACAAATGAACAGAACAAGCAATAATTAACTTAAAAGAAAAAACCATGTAGATTGGCACTAATTTTAAAATGTCTAATCTAACAATAGGGGGAAAAAACTCAGCAGAAAACAGTACTTATAAAAAAAATAAAGGCACTGGAAGAATATATCAGTGTATTTGATGACTAAGGAAATCCAATGAAGATTGTAATTCTGGCACTACTACAACATAAAATAAAACCATACCAAGTGAAATTAATAGAGAAACATAAATTCCTTCTAAAAATATGAAGGAGAAAAAAAAACAGAAGCCAGGATATGTGGTTTGGAGGGAGGGATAACATTCAGTTTCTTCCACAGATAGTCCTTGTCTTATGACCACAATCAGGACCAGAACTTCCATTGTTAAAGAAGATGGTTGCTAAGTGAGCCTTGCCTCTTTTTTTGCCATGGTTGTTAGTGAACCACTTAATTCTGTGAATTGTGTGATTGTTTAAGCAAAGCTGGCTTCCGTCATTGACTTTGCTTGTTGGAAGCTGCCTGGGAAGGTCGTGAATGGAGATGTGTCCTTGGGATGCTGCAACCATGATAAATAGATACCAATTGCCAAGCACCTGAATTTTGATCACATGACCATGGGGATGCTGTGATAGTTGTAAGTGTGAATACAAGTCATTTGAAACAGTTGCTAAACAAAAGGTTATAAGTCGGGGACTACCTGTACTGTAACAGTTATTACTAAATTATATTTTACAGGTTTTCCTTTTGAGTCCCAAGAATTCCTACGGTAATGATGATGAAAGAAAACACCTCTGTTTTTATAAATTGGATTTTTCAATGGGAAAGTGACAGCTAACTGGGTCAATCTTTAGCAAACACTTGTTTCTCTGCTTATCATAAACTGGGGCACTTTTCCCCAAGAAAAAGGTGCCATTGGATGCAACCAAACATTATTCCTTTTAAACAAACTCTGAGACTTTTTGTATTTGTTTCCTATGATTTGGCAGCAAGAAATCTTACTGTAACTATAATATTTACCAGCTCTTGTTTTTAACTGTTATGAGTAACTTTTTGTGAATTCTTTTCATAATTATGCTTGGCAACTGTTCAAAGTCAATAGCTGAAAGTAAGAAAAAGAATCATCAGTAAATTACTATAATGAAATATAAGCTAAGGATGAGTAGTTGTGGAGGAACAGAAGTGGTATTCAGCAGGTTCTGACCACTTCTGGAGTACTGGTAGTGGAAAATTTGAGTAGTTCAGAGAACCAGCAAATACTGGAGATTTTGACTGACTGGAGATTTTACAGTATCCTCCCCCTGCCACACCCACAGAACTGGTAGTAAAAAAATTTGAATCCTACCACTGTTTTGCACCACACTTTTCTAGAGAAAAAGGTGAATATGAATGCAAACAAATAAACCTGATAAACCTCAAAGCTCAAACTGCCCAAGGAGCTACAGAGGAATTATTGAGTCTGTTATCTGCACCTCTGTAACTGTCTGGTTTGGTTCTGCAACCCAAGACTTCAGAGGATAATTAGGACTGCAGAAAAAACAATTACTACCAACCTGCCTTCAATCGAGGACCTGTATACTGCACGAGTCAAAAAGAGGGCTGTGAAAATATTTACAGACCCCTCACATCCTGGATATAAACTGTTTCAACTCCTTCCCTCAGAACGATGCTATAGAGCACTGCACACCAGAACAACTAGACACAAGAACAGTTTTTCCCCAAACGCCATCACTCTGCTAAACAAATAATTCCTTCAACACTGTCCAACTATTTACGAAGTCTGCACTACTATTACTATTAACCTCATCACTCCTTATCACCCATCCCTTCCCACTTGTGACTGTATGACTGTAACTTTGTCGCTTGTATCCTTACGATCTGTATTGACTGTTTCCTAGTATGGTTTGATTGCTTATTGTACG